AAATCCTATGGGATGGTGAGTTGGATGCGTAAGTAACAACATTGCTGCACAAGACTTTCCTTTTTTCTCAACAAAATAAATGCATAATCTTTGGTTATTAAATGGTATATCTTGAAAATTATTCCTATTCACTTATATTCATCTCAAGTTCTAAAACCAATTACTTTCGTGTTGTTGGTATATTACATTTACAAATAAAAATTACATTCTTCAGCAAATAACTTTCAATATATATCATAATTCATCCATGCAAAAAATCAATCAAATAAACCAAAGCGAACTAATATGAAGCTAGGACTATATCCACACAAGGTTTCTTGAATCTGAAACCTAAGGATACTAAAGACTCTTTTTTGCCATTGAGACGAGGCCTTGTTGGCAAAACTATTTACTTTATACAAGTTACTAATTACCTAGTAGACTTCAAAATGATCTTAGCACCTCAACAAATTAATCTCATAATCTTCTAGCCAGATAAAAGGATAAAGAAACGAAAAAAAGTTCTCATAATCAGGGAAAAGAATTGCCCAATCTTATTCATCCGAGCAGACTAAAAAAAATCTATCCATGCCTTTACTTGTGTATAATGATACTTTGATTTATGTTCTATATTTATCAAAATTGTTTTATTTTGTGCCAACCACATTATTCTAATTTGTCATCAATTATGTTTTACAACCTTTTTTTTTTTTGCACTTTCTCTAAACCCGCATGGATGCATATAGATTCCTTACCTTACAGAAATGGAGGGCCTTGCAACAAAACTTCTCGAAGTTTAAGACAACATACCTATATGTGCTTCTATCATTTTATAGCATGTTACCCTTCACTTTTTAGAAGTGAGACTTGAATGGGTTCTTGAACGAGTCAAAGATCTTGTCAAAAATTGAGAAATAGTTGTAGAAGCACTATTACCATAGGGAAAAGGTACTATACAAGGTGGAGAAGGTGCCATTTACTTGTGGGCAATGCTACTAGAGAAATATGTTGATGATGTCAAAATTGTCCACTGGCTTGCTAAAAAGCATGGGGTTGTTGTGATCCCAGGAATTGCATATGGGTGCCTAGGGCATTTAAGAATTTTCTTTGATGGGTTGATAGAGGATGACTATAGAGAGGCTGAAGAGAAGATTAGAAGAATTGCTAAAAGATGGAATGATACAGTAACATTTAATTGAAGTACAAAATTAGGTCCATTGAGCAGTTTAAGTTTTAAAACTAGTTCATTTGAATAATTAAAGGGCGTCCACCTGCTAAGTTGCTAAAATTAAAGCTGCTGCTTTAGTTATGTATATTAAGCAAGTACTTCACGGATGCATGTACAAATTGTGCACATTGATGATTTATACATACGAACTCTTTATAGCTTTTTGAATTGCCCATTCCATTTAAACTCCGAAGTCTAACATGTTGGCAATAACTTTCGATTACAACACTGTGTAAAACTCCAGAAGGTGCTGTTACTCTACTCTGCCTAGGTTCTAACGCTATCAATAAGTTGATGCTGAGAAGGATGATAAATCTTCTTATTATTTAGGGACTATGCATCGTTAATGGTGACTCACCTTCATTTTTGCATTCTCGAGTCGTAATTTCATATTTTCTTTTCACATGACAACATCTGGTTTGTGTTTGTAGAATAAAAGGATGTTCTCAAAAAAGTTTGCATGAGGTTAAACATTCTTATCTTATGAACTAGATTGCTAGGTAAGTACAGGTGAGCTAGGGCATGGTATCTGAAACTCGTCAGTCCAATCTTTTTTCACTTTAATTCAAATGCAAAAAGGAATTGGGTTAGGAGGTTTCCCATGCAACTTTCCTAATGAAAAATGTTGGATCAGATCTGAGGAAAATGTGTCATATCGGATAGCAATTAGGGGAAAGTCACAGTTCATGTGCCAAATTAATTTTCAAATAGATACATTATTAACGCAAAGCAGTTCACAAAAGATTCGATTGAAATAATAACAATTATTCTAATAGCTACCCAACGCCAAAACAAAAGAAGAAAAGGCCAAAACAAAGGCAGTAATAGATTTGGGTTCCCGATGGGCCCCGCCTTCAGGACAATTCCGTTATTGGGTCCACCATAACCAACGGCCTAAAACTCTTTTAAAAAAGCCCAAACTGCAAGGGGCTACAATTGTAATTTTGTCCTTTCCTCCCCCTCCCTCCCCACGGTTTAAACGTCGCCGTCATGGCTCTCTATTCCACCCAATCTAAACGGAAAAACGGAAAAAAAAAAA